CCATAGTGTGGTTTGGTTAAAATAAATAAATAAATAAATAAGATCACAACTTTCAAATATTTCTAAATCTAAATGTAAATAATAACAAGTTATTATTTTTGATTTCAAAACTGTGGTTTATGTATCAGATTTAAAAACAATTACTTTAAAGAATTTATGTAAGTGACAGGTAATCATAAATAAACCAATTTTAATCTGTGTGACTGTGTTGCTATAATTCTATACACCAGTATAATAAGTCCTATTAATAGAAATACACGGTTATGGTGTTTGAAAGAACAATTTATGTAAGTGACATTTATTTACACACTGACCTAGGATTTCAAATTTAGAAGCCACAGAAAGTATCAATATATTATTGATTTAAAATAGGTAAACATAGCAGCCATGAAATAAGGGCCCCTGAAATCAGCCACTTCTGGGTCGTAGGTAATCAGAAGTCGCATCACTCCACTAAGACTATTGCATTTAACTATTTATCCCATGTGACTACGCCAGCTTCGAGTAATCCATTCGACTGTCTGCGGGGTACTAGACACATAGTTTTAGAGGGTACGTGGACTCGCCCCCACACGGGCACCAAGGTGCAAGCGAGAGTGCGGAACGTAGAGCACGACTACACGCAGAGCACGGAGAACTGGCAGTAGTACCGGTAACGGTACATACCAACCTTTGGAGGGATTATCTCGCAAAGGGTCGAATGCGCAAGTACTATTCCATTAACACTTTTGCCGATACAGGGGGTCTATAACTCTGGGGTGGAAAATCCGTCATTTAGAGTTCAATCTTACCAAAAGAAAGGCTGATCTGCATGTGATCAAACTGCAATTTTACCATTGATTTTTGAAGATAAAATAAATATTATTAATTTTTATCGAAGTTTTCAAACATAAAACATTTCCTAACTTAATATTAATTAAGATACTTCGAAAATTCATAATTATTAAAAATCATACTTCATTTGTAATTAAAATATAAATAATCCGCGATGCGACAGAAGGCGACGCGACGCAACGCAGCGCGGCGCCCTATAGTACACGCAACACGAGTGAATTAAATCACATAAATAACTAAAACGGTTAACAATTTTTACCAATTGTAAGCTTACCGGAACTTCTTTAACCTTAGTAATTTTGAGTTTTGCCATTAAATTCTTCAGTTGCGATATTCGATTACTTTCATTATAGATTAATTCTTCTATTTTCGCACTTAACGAAACGGGAAGGTCTTTATAGTTGATGTTTTTCGCTATCGGAAGACATCGGAAATAGTAATTATAAAGTTTTCTCTTCGAACCAAACATTTTATATTTCTATTTTGATTCTATAAAAGACAACGAAGTTCCAGTTTCCATATACTTTCGATTTAACTACTTATCAAGTTCGCGGAAAAGTGCAACACGTGACACGTTGTAAACATATTACTGTACATGTTGTTTTTTAAAAACATACAATTATATTTCTTTTATATGCTAATTTTAAAAGCCTATCTACTTCGTTTTTTAAAATCGTATATTTAAATAATTTTACTATCTCGTTAAAATATTTTACATTTTAAAAAATTTAAATTTTATTTTTTTAAATTTTACGGTAGAGGTCGTATGGCCGAGAGGTTGAGTTAACGTTGCCAGATTTAACCAAGGTCATTCAGATTTAATTAACTACTTTGCACCAAATTTGGCAACCTTTTTTAGATTGGCGAAAAAAATATCATATGGCGCGTTGGCTACTTTTTGGGCTACATATTATTTATAAATACAGTATATTATTTGAATAAAAATGCACTTTAAAATGATGTTTCTTCGTTTTGTTTTTATTAATTAGAGACCGAAATAAAACAAATATTTGTGTTTTTTATATAAATTTTTGCTTGTCTCCTTTATAATAAATGCATTTGTGACCGGAGGGTCGGTTGATTCGGTCACGCGAGCGATCGGATTCAAGATGGAGGAGAGTTGAGAGACGGCGTACCGGAAGTGAATCACTCGGATCGGATGTTGATTTAACTCAACAATCGTTTATTTGTAAAGGAAAATACATTGTATACAGTTTATATCGTTAATGAGTATAATAAATCGTTAGTGATAATAATAAATCGACATGTCCGCGTTTCTCGAGAAAGAGTTTACAGTGGGGTTTTTTTGGCAGAAAAGGCCTCTTCCCGCTCTGAGAGGCCTCGAGTTTACGGTGGTTCGCGAGTTGATGAATACCTGTAGTTGAAAAATTCAACTGCAGTCTTGATGCAGAAGATGAGAACTGGTTCTAAACACTGTCAGCCGGATCTTTTTGCGGCTGGACGGCCGAGCGGTCAAGGTGGCAGCCTACCGCTCTGGGGGACCCGGGTTCGAATCCAAACGGGTCGAAAAATCCCCAGGAATTTTTCGGGGAATGGTCCGTTCGGATATGTCGGGCCCCGTCCTTCACTGCCCGGCAGCCCCATTGTGGGCCTGGCCGAACCCATAATGGGCTTGCAAAAAGAGGCCCTCTTAGTGCCCCCCCAAAAAAAACTCTTAATGTGTAATTTTTGTCTTGAAGAAAGTTATACTGCATGCCAATTGTTAAATTTCACTATATACTTCATTTTAAGACTGCAGTTTCTATTTTCTGATAATTTTTCTGAATCTTATCCACTATAATTCTGGAAATAATGTTATGTTAATAAATAATTTTGCTGATTGAAATTTAAGAATTGTTTTTACTGAATCTTGTGCTTTTTGGCCAAATGAGAATATAAAAAGGCATTGGAATTTATAATTCTCTTTTGCTTGATAGCCAAAAGAATACTTATTCATGTATGTTTTGGCATTTTAAAAACAAAATTCCTTAATGTAACTATAAAATGTAAGATCATAGTACTTTTCATATGTTACACATCCTTGAAACATCCTGAAATTTCGAATACAAAAATCAGCTAAACTTATTTTCAGAAAGTTTGAACAAAATATTATCAGTTAAACGGAAGGGACATCACCATTAACTAATATTATTTAGTATAACATATATACTTTGAACTAGAAAAAGGTTAATGGTAGTTATTAACTTGGTTTTCCTACACCATGGGTGGAGAACTTGTGACATTTTGTGGTAGTCTTTCAGATTAAAAATGTTATCCAGATGATCAAGAGGAAAATCACTTTTTCTCATATGTATTCAGAAATAATTACACTACACCCAATCATCAATGTATCACCATCATGGAGGAAGCATTATGATTTTAGGAGTGGTCACTTCAATGGGAAACCTCAAAGTTAAGGTTGATAAGCATTGCTCAGATAAGCATTGCTGTTATTCTTCTGATTAACAGCAATGCTTATCTGAGGACCTTCAGTATATCTTTCTCCAATGCATAAAGTGCCCAATTTAGCTGCAAAAAATGGCTACATCATCAGGATAATGCCTCAATACAGTCTGAAAGCCATCCAGTCATCATCCAACATAAATGTTCTGCACCAACCTGCAAGAAGTCCAGATTTAAACAGCCCAGAGACAGAAAATATCTGTAATGTATGTTTTAGAAGTGCAGCTATACTAAGATCAATAATACAATCGTGCATAACTAACCATTGATAACATTCCCGTCTTTATTAGAAACTGATAAGAAACATTGAATATTTACTTATATGAAAGTGTGTGTTCTCATTTTTCTCATTTAAAAAGACATTCAAATTCCCAATAAACAATTTTTGATGCTAAAATATTTTATAGAACAACAAAACCACCACCACACATACAAATATAACAATTTTTATTATAAAAATATACATGTATACATGCAAATATATATAATATACATTATATTAATATACATAAAATATGCATGTTAATATATTAATGTAAAAATATAAATACTCAAAGATATATTGATGTATGCTTTCGGAAAAAGAATTTAACTTCTTAATTATATTTTGCAAAATAAACTTTTAAATATAAAAATTTGACAAATATTTTAACAATAATTATAAATTTAGAAGGTATTTTTCGTATAAATATGTAATAATAAAAATTATATATTTAACAAGATCATAAATGTATACTATTGTTTCATACACTGTATATATATTGACTAGATAAAAATATATAAACTTATAATGCACAATTATATATATAAAAATAAAACATAATGTTACATTTATTACAAGTTCTTTAAATATTTAGATTTTAGTAATTTTATAACTCTCTGGTGATATATTTTTTCAGTAAAATTAGAGTACTCATTCATTAACTGTCTTAATGCAATGACTTCATATTTTGATTTGTCATATAATTCAATCCACCAACTAGGAACCATCAATTTGTTCTTCAAAGGAGAAGTTGGCCTAGGACATCCGTAATGAGAAACAGTTGCTTGACGTGCAATTGGAATCATCGTGCTCTGTTTTGCTCTTAAATTTTCATTAATTCTCTTGCAAACAAAACATTCAAACTGTTCGATAAAATTTCCCTTTTCAAAATCATTATTAATACCCCAGTTACGGTTTTTCATGGTCCTTATTAAAAGATTATTTGTTATTTCTTTATACAGTTTATGATGAAGATGCAATTCGTATGCAGTTTTATTGGAATTCAAAAAGTGAATATAATCTGCAAGATGTTTAGGTGAATTAAAATCTGTTGCAAGAATTACAGAGTTGGAATGTGGAAGCCAATCCTATAATAAATATTTTAAATTGTAAAATGATAATTGATTAATTATTAAAATTTAAAAACTTTTAAATTGAAGATCTTACTTTAATAGAAGGTGAACCATAATATATTGGAACTGAACCAACTGTAAGGGGACGCCATAATTTTTCAGTTATGTAATCATCACAAACAGCATTTTCAAATGCCAAAGAAAATTTATATCTACTCAATATTTCCCAGAATTCTTCATTGTCCATAGATTCAACTGGATCTGATAATCTATTAAATATTTTATTAAATACAACTGTAATATTTAATTTGTTATAAACACACTATGAAATTAAAAGTAATGAATACAGTACATAATAGCTAATTTCATATTGATCTATCTTAGAAATTAATAGGACTTTTGACAAAAATCAAAATTTATTAAATTGTTCAATTTTAATCTTTGTTTTTACTTACTTCAGGCTGGACTGTATTAACAATGACAGGGGCCCTAGGCTTTCAGTTATATTTTGGGCTCCTTCCAGCACTTCAATCTTTCACCCCACTACAGCTGACACCTGAATCTGATATGTACTAGATTGCAGACTGCAGAACATAACCATATTTTTGTGTACAGTATGTCCCTTTTTTTTTACTCTCCATTGACCACAGGCTCCCATTTCCTGGGCTCTAGACATGTGCCTAGTCTGCCTAATGGTTAAAAAAAAATGGCCCCGATTATGAAATATATAAATATCCTACAAACAACCCTTTCACTTTTCAGTACAATTATTTAATGAGTGGATGAATGTTTTCAAATTGCTTTACAGATTGTCCACTCATTAAATAATTGTGCTGGAAAGTGAAAAGGTTGTTTGGGATATTTTTGAATTAATTTAATTTCCAGTTTGAATTTCCTTTTTTTCATATTATAGCTTGTATAGAAAGTCTATCAATTCATTTTTATCATTTGTTTAAATATAAAAACATAGTATTTTTCTGTAGAAATTTTGTTAATACCCAAAATAAATCTTAAATACTATAAAAAGAATGGAACTTAATTAAAATAAAATAAAGGAACACTGTAATTGTTAGATCAAACATTAATAACATTTTATTAAAAACTATTTTATATTGAAAATACAGTAGAACCTCGATTATCCGGACCTCNAAAAATGATTTTGTCATTTAAACGTGAAATAATAAATGAATGCATGATATTTAAGCAAACAACAAATTGAAGTTTTTAAGTCATACTACAGTAAATGCAGGTTGTTCCCAACACTCATGCAATATAGTTTTTTTTTTTTTGATGCTCTTTATAATATAAATTAATAAAAAAACTTGCAATTAAATAAAAATATATTTTTAGATATCATAATTTCTGAAAAATGAATATATCCAATTTATGTCAGTCAATCTTATAGAAAAGCTTTTAAAACTTGACAAAGACATTTAGAATATAATCAATATTGTATTGATAAATACAAAAGTAATTTTCTCATTATTACTGTAGCTGAAGACTTCCTTTGTAAGACATTCATTTATGAAATTGATGAAAGTTAGTATTTGTTTTAGACAAATTTGAGATTCTACATTGTCATTTTGGAATAATTAAAGTACAGTAGATCCCTCTATCACACGTAGATACATTCCATGTTATACGAATTCCTTGTTGTACGAGTCACTTAAATACATGAGCCAATCACAGCACAGAACAAGTGCAGTTTAGCGGCTATGGCTGTTTGAAAGGTTTTCTTCCATAAAATTAATCGATTCTAGACTAATTTGACTCAACATTTCCAAAACACATATAATCCATATAATATCCATATAAACTATGCTATAAACAAAAAATTGTAGGATTATTTACTGAGTGTGCGCTGTTCAATGATGCCATTACTTAAGCTTGTTTTCACTGCGGAGCGGCTCATCGAATGGCGGGCACGTTTCCTAATATGTTATTTTTCTGCGAAAAATTCACTGAACTTTGGAGACATCATTAATATAAATATAATTTTAATGGCCATTAAATAATAAATAGTTTTTTGTAGGTCCACTGCTCGTTTAAACTCAACGGTTTGTGCAATGTCCATTATTGGTCCAGATTCGACCAATCCTGTCATGACACAAGTCGGCGATGACATTTTACCCTGTTATACAAGTCTCTTTTAGCATGTTATATGAACATGATGGCAATTTTTTCGCCGTGTTATACGAATCCGTGTTATAGGGGGTCTACTGTATATACAGTATGTGTTGGGTTAATACTTACAGTATAAGTGTTTGTATATGATGTTTATTCAGATAACCAGATGGCCAAGGCAGTTAAAAATCACCCTATCATGGGAAACCTAGAATCAAATTGTGATGAACAAGGAACAACTGCAGGAATTTTTCATGGGCAGTAAGTCCTGGATATGTTGGATCTCTTATACCAGGCAGTCAATCTAATTGTAAGTCTGGCTGAATACGTGATGGGTATGGGAAAAAAAGAATTCTTAGTGCTCAGAGGACGAGGAAAAAAAATAATTTACTCAATTTTCTGTTTATCAGTTGAAAGGACTATTGTAAAAACTTAAAAGTTAGTGACATTTTACCACTAAGTAACAATCATTCTTGAAATTTTGAATGTTCTACTTTAGCCTTGGAACTAAAAGCTAACCCAAAAAATCCAGCNTAATTTTAGATATATTTTCATAAATAATATTTTTAAAACATCTCAATTTATAAATATATGTTTAATTATAAAACCTAACAGATAAGATGTTATATACCATGCAAATATTTCCAGAAATCTATTTTCATATCTGTCCAACTTAGAATGAATTGAAAGAGATTTACAGTTCAGAGCTTTGAGGTTAATTTAAATATAACCTTAGAGATTTTACTCTTTTAAATAAATTAAAAAAAACATATGCAATACTATAAACGAGTTATTATTTATTGAGATCATCACAATGCAGGGCTGCAGTTTTTAATCATATTTTTAATTTATTTCATTTGAAATAAATGTTCTCCACCTCATATTCGTAGTATCTTGTCCCTGTACATCATATTTTTCCTTTAACGATAGAGTCGTGCCAATCATCTATTAACTGCTTTCAGGGAAAAACTTTTGAATTGAAATAACATTAATTCCAGCGCAAACCGGAAGTTCATGTATAGTCAATTGGGGCCTCCTGTCTTTACAGCTTCCGTATATGGTCTCAGATCTCATCTATCTAATTCTGTTCTTGAGATTCAGGAAAGACAGATGGACAACAGTGGAAATTTATAGGTCTACAACTTTTTTCAAATTGCATCCCAATTAAATTTAATTGATGTGTGATATAAATATAGACTTCTATTTCATATTTAACAATTAATTTTTTATCACCAAATTTTAAAATCTATAAATAGCAGTTCTATATCACAATCATTCTTTAAAAAGAGAGAGTTATAGAACTCTCTAGCAATATTACATATATAATTAAATATATGATATTGTTTGATGCAGTTTTGTCAACATAGTCCTGCACTAGTTTATAGGCATGTCTAGCATGAAATGCCATTTGGGCTCGTGACTACTTAGTGGCATATGTTTTTTGTATTGAGCTATGTCCAGGTGTAAATTTAAAGGTGTGTAGGTACTGTCTGCCAGAATTATAGCTTTAAGTAAGTAATCTTGATGTTTCTTGTTTTTTTTAGAAAAACTCCTGAAGTGTCTGAATTTGTTTGTAGTGCATAGAAGTAAATAGTGTATAAGCCACTCAAAAGACATAATATTTTCATTGTACTGATTGATTACAGATACTGGCAAGCAACATCAGAGTAATNGTTGTACGCAAGAAGAAATTATATCATATTATATTTTTAAGATTTTTGCTATTTTATAATAATTCTGAGGGAAGGGATAGTTTTATAAAAAGTTGTGAATTCTAATAATAAGTAAAACAGTCATTAAGTCTGACCCTACTCAAGATATGACACACAAACTTCCTCGACCTTTGAGGCTATTAAATTTTGGTGGTTAATCTCCTAATATGCAAACCTCTCGGCATAACTTCAGACATTTTAGAAAAAACACAGAAGTTATTAAGCTTCAAAGAGGGTGAACAAAATTGTGCCCCACCACATCCATACATACATACAGAAAACCTCCCAAAGTTTCTTTTTTTTTTTTTATTTCTTAACATTTCAAGGTCCAGAGTCCAAAAATGTAAAAATCTTGGGGGGATCATTTATTGACTGATTACTATAATTTTGTTCTGTTATATATGACAGAACCACAAAAGTAAAAATAAAAATGAGCCTTTTCTCAAAGTTCACACAGTAAAGTCATTGATCATTTAAATTATGATTACAGTTTATACAATCTGTGACAACTTAATTCTTATGGATTATTTTAAAGAATTCTATGATGATTGCAAAAAATATTATTCATATTTATTTGCTAGGCATTATATCAGCTGTTTAGTGTAGAGTTGCCAACTTTCTTATACAACAAAGAAAGACACTGCACATACGCTGTATAATGGGTGAAATTATAACAAATTATTGTTATAAATATTTTTTAACTAACTGTTTATTTATTGTCTACTTAATATTTTTATAATTATGTTTTAAACTCAATCTCAGAATCATTACCAACTATTGCACACCATTCTAATAGTCCCTAATTTTTGCTTGTCTGACTAATAATGCTCTCTCTCTCTTTACCACTCATTAGAGAAACAGAAAGACAGCTTGTTACAGCTTATCGTCTTTTACTTTTTCCTCTATTGAGTTTCATAATCAGATGAATAAATTATGGATATCCTGTATAATTTTCTGAATTTTCACATTACTATTATTGTGCACTAAATATGATCAGTAATGAGTATGATCAATTATATTAAATTTTTAAAATAAAAAAAATAAAATAAAATTACCTTTTAGGTAAATCCTTATTATGCAGACATTTTCCATAAGAATCAATTTTGATATATTTCATTAATTTTTTGACATAAGCATCTCTTTCAGATGGTGTATTGCAATCTGACTGTACATAGACGACTGGTGATAACTTTTTTAATTCTTTATCTTTTTGTGATGTTGATTTAAAGTATTTATGATCAGTTAATGATTCTAAACTATCTAGATACTGAAGAGTAAGAGGAAAATCACTTTCACGTTTGAATGTTGCAGTGTAATTAAATAATTCCATTCCCTAAATAATAAAAAAATTCGTTTCATATAAATCCTTGAAAACTATATTTAGTTTATAATACACATTAAAATAAATTAATAAAATAAATATAAAATGATATTAAAATTGTTTTCATAAGTTATTACATACATAAAATAATCCATAAAATTTTTTGAGTACATAAATCTATAGTTTGATATAACAAAAGACAAAGAAATGCAAATATGCAAATGATTATAGTGACATATCTTAAAGCAGAAGAATGGTTATTACCATATTTACTCGAATATAAGACGACTCGCATATAGGATGAGGTGCGACTTTAAAGATCAAAATAAAAAAAAAATTAGATTTAGTAATACAATTCTAATTTTATTTTGTTTAATCACAAGTAAATGCACACATTGTTCCTCAAAAATTACTAGCATTTTAAAACTAAGGAAAAATCTTGTAAAATCGACAACATAATTTGTTCATGTAAAACTGGACAATCGGGGACTTTTTTTTTGCTAATTCTTAACAGTCGAATCCACTCTCCATCGATTACACATACAAATTCCTCCGAATTCTGATTTCCAAATAATCACCCGTTTTCACGTGGGAATGGATTAAAAACTTATATCAGGCTCCTGTGTGAGTTTGGAATTTCAATCTGGAATTCCTATTGCTATTCATCTTTACTCCTGACAATATACAAGAACAATTCAAATGACATAGATAAAATACTTATGTTTTTAAATACAAGAGAGTAAGCATCCGGTAAAAAAATGGGAATACACGGTTCACAAAAATTATTTTGTAAAAAAGCAAAGAATCTTTCACTCGCGCATATACGATGACCTAGGAATTTGAAGTTGTGATAAATGAATAAAAACCTTTTCTTATATGTGAGTAAATACGGTATATCTTAAAATACCTCTTTAAAACAGAAGAAAAAATTATTTTTTGGAGATTCTTCATGCAATAAACCCCAATCATGATTACTTTTTCTTGGTAATGGAAGATCCAATGGATTAAAGTCACTCCCATAAAAAAGAATGACCTAAGAAAAAAATAATAATCATAATATGATGAATTCAATTAATAAAAATTATTCTATGAGTAAATAATTAAGTTATTTATAATTCACGATAAAATAAGTACTTCTTATAGGTGTTAAAATATGTACTATTTAAAAATTAAAAATAAACATTTGTCATTGATTAACAGTTTGTTTTTCATTATTAATTTAGATATACATTAAAAGAAATTTAAATTACTTTAATGTTCCTATTCAAGTTTAAATATAAAATTTAGCATATTTAGGGCATTTGTTTAATTTTTCTTTTTTACTGTATTTGTAATAGTAATACTGTATCTGTAACTCTGTTTTAATGAACAATATAACACAGTTTGCATTCAGGAAAAGAGATTAAAATTAAACAGAATAAACAGTATTGTTGTTGGTCATTTCAAATATAAACCTCTTAATAAGAAGTTTATATTTTTATATAAAAGCTATTCTGGAAATAGCAGAAACTTGTATTAATACTGTCATTCACTATCAGTCGGTAGCAAAAAAAAAATCCCAGTTTTTCTGTCGTATGTAACTATACAATTTTGCATTTTCATAAAACAAGACACATTTTGGATTAAATGATTGGCATTTGTAATTTCTGGATGCTGGCAATAGAAAGACCATAGAAAAAAGAAAACGAATCAATCAGTAAGTATAATATTTCCAGATTTAATCTTCCTGTAATGTTAGGAAAATTTTCATTTTAAAATTCTACAAGTGACCAATAACTGTACCATTTATCATATATAACGGATTATGAATACATTTTAAACACATTTCTATATTAATCAGAGAGAGAACTTATCGCAATATAAATTCATTCAAATTTTATTTATATAATTGCTACATTGGTTGATGTAATTAATCAGTGAAAATAATTCACTAATTGAAAACCTTTATTATTTTGAACCAGTGTTGAGAAGTCAGAGTTGCTGGACATTTTAGGGTCAACTTTGGTAACATTTTTTCATCTCTGACCTTAAATTTTACTATTCGTAAAATGCAAACTTTTTAATTAGTATCTAAAGAAATTTCTTAGAAAATGGACATTTTGATAAATTTAGAATAATAAAAAAAAAGTCTATAAAGGCCATTTCACATCAAAATTTTAAGAGTATAGCACACAACATGCTCTATACTTTCAGAAAATAGCTTTTATTAATTTAAACAAACATATTCACATTGCATTGTGTTATATAGAAAGTACAACTCTCTAAGCTGTATCTTCTATATAACATAAGCCAGGCTTGGTAAGTTTTTGCTATTACCCAACCAAAAATTACAAATCATTACACAATAATTGACTGACTTTGCATTTGTAAAAATATCTAAATCTTTATATTTTATTATTATGTCGCAAATGTCATGTTCAGCTGATACAGGTGCCAAGTGCTATTCCAGATTAAAGTCAAAGTATAGCTACCCAAACAAGTGTAACATTAAGTTGTGTTATTGGTTTGTGTTTAATATTGCAGTTTTCTTTAGTGACATGTATAGTCCATGTTTTTATTAATGTTTAATGTTTCCAGACTTTTGTGTAGTGCATATGGTATAACACCAGTAGAAGACAGTACAATAAATACCTTATCCATACTCCATATCTGTCTTATTTTTTGAGCAAGTGGAGTGTACTTGTTGATTTTTTTAGTGTGAGTTTTTTTATGTTATGAGTGTTTGGAACACATGTCTATTGCAATGAATTGTTTTATCTGTGATTATGGCTCTGTAATAGTATATTTTCTGTGTCATTTTCTAATACTGCCTGAAGAGTATACAGTGGTGCCTCGTATAACTTACGCCTCGAATAACGGACGCTGCGAACAATGGACTTTCTGTTTGGCCGTTACGTGACTCGAGCAACGGACTTTCTGTTTGGCCGTTACGTGACTCGAGCAACGGACTGGCTATGAACAACGGACTTTTTGTTCGGCAATTACTTGAGGCGAATAATGGACTTTCTGCGAACAAGTGTGAATGATGTTTCCACTCTTTTGCCGTTGCCAATGACAATCTGCTATTTTTATAATATATTAGTATTATTAGAATATATTATTAGTATATCTGAAGTACAGAGCTCCCGTTGGGTTCGGCTTGCTCCCTTGTATATATTATGTACATCACCTCAGTGCAGGGTATTTACATTTATTCGAGTGTTGTCCAAATCATGGCTTCTAAAAAACCAGAAAGGTGATTTCAATTGAAACAAAGCAAGAAATCATCAGAAGGAGTGTAAGTTGACAAAAACTTCCTTGTCAAATAGGGAGAGGTTCAGGAGTTTACCAACACTCATTATCCAAACAGAGCTGAGGCCAACAGGACCAATGATCTCTACAATGACTCTCTCTTCTTCAACACCTGTTGGGTGTTGAAGAAGAGAGAGAAACAGACCACCTTGGATATGTTTTTCAAGAAGCCAGCTGCCAAAAAACAAAGGATGGAACAAGAGGAGTTGACCCTGCCTCTCCTGAATCTGACTCTGATTAAAAAATAATAAAAAGAGACCTGCGATACAGATACAGACTTTTTACAATGTGTAAAAAGTCTGTATCTGTACAAATGTGTGAAGAAAGTGTTCCTCCATGTCCTCACAACATCTGACTACCTGGCATAATTGGTGACTGCTCCATTTTCATTTTTTTTTTTTTTAATGATACAGTATGGTTATTTTATGCTGCAGAACAAATTATATGTTTTAACATGTATTTCTATGGAAAAATGCATTTTGCATAACAAACTTTTCACTTAACGGACATACACCTGGAACAGATTAAGTACGTTATACGAGGCACCACTGTATTTGTAGTATGGTACATAGGTGTTTAATAATTTGTGCCTCTGTGCATTATATTGATTATGCCTATGTAAATAGTCTTTGCTAAGAGCTTGCAACCAGTGATTATATATTGTATTGTTTCTAGCAGAATGTGGCATTTTCTGCAACACTCATTTGTGAGTGATGTATCACTTAGGATGTGTTTTCTGTATGATCTTGAATGACAACCATAAAACTCTCAGCCTCTCCAAACAGGTAGCCCCTAGTCAACCAGTAGTTTGATGCAGTTTTGTCAACATAGTCCTGCACTAGTTTATAGGCATGTCTAGCATGAAATGCCATTTGGGCTCGTGACTACTTAGTGGCATATGTTTTTTGTATTGAGCTATGTCCAGGTGTAAATTTAAAGGTGTGTAGGTACTGTCTGCCAGAATTATAGCTTTAAGTAATCTTGATGTTTCTTGTTTTTTTTAGAAAAACTCCTGAAGTGTCTGAATTTGTTTGTAGTGCATAGAAGTAAATAGTGTATAAGCCACTCAAAAGACATAATATTTTCATTGTACTGATTGATTACAGATACTGGCAAGCAACATCAGAGTAATCTGCCAATCAGAGTGTCTGCCTTAAAGGTCTTTTAAGGGAAAATTCTGGCATTTTTGAAGAGAAGAAAACCCAGAAAATATTATGATTCATCTTGTCACCCCAAGCACAAACTCAAGCTGATTGTCATTGTTTTGGGATTCAATCTTAGATCATTCATGGTGGCAGTCTGGAACACTATTGCTTAGCCTTCTAGCCAGCTTTCATTGTGTGAGAAAAACAATGTCTTTGAAATTAGTTCTTGAAAACTTCACCACATTACTAAAGCAAGAACACAAAGTGCAGAGATGATAATAAAAAATTAATGTCCTGCTTTGAATCACAAAGCTTATTATTACCAAATAGAAATTCCTACATTTTGGATGATTTTCTTTGGATATCAATTTTTTTTTTTATTAATTCAACTAATTAAGTTTTTCACTGCCCTTCTATTGGTTTTGAGTTATTTATGACTATTTATTAATACTTCTAAAACATAATTTGGTCTTAAAAGAATAAATATAAAAACAACAAAAAAAATTAACCCCAAAATCAGAATCTTATTATCAGTGCCGTCCCGAGGCAAGTTTTAGGATGCAGCGAGATCCTATTATGGTACCCCCTTGGCTGCCCCAATTTATACCCTTTAATTTTCTTTACCACTGAGGTGCCCCCTAGGACTTAGCGCCTGGAGCGGCTGCTCCGTTCGCCCTACGGTAGGGCCAGCTCTGCTTATTGTAACAAACTAAAAGAGGAAGAGAAAACTGAAAAATGTAATTAATAGGATTGTTCCAACTTATTATTCACTGGCTTAAGTTTTCAAGCCGTGATTGTGTACATTGGCTCAAGATGCTCAATATTTTTCCAAAATTCATATTTTAAAATTCTACTATGTACTTGAGTTTAGTCAACCATTAGTAAGATATTAACTACTCTTGTAGTAGCAAGAGCAGGGAGAAACTATCAGGGGCAGAGGCATAATTAACTAACAATAGAGAGGTTGCGGCCGACATTTTCATTGCGAAAACGTGAACGTCGAACATTCAGCACCATCATCCTGTAAGCCTAGAAGTTTGACAATGGCATTTGGAACATCATGTTCTGTTCCAAATGCTATTGTCAAACTTCTAGGCTTACAGGATGGTGGCACTGAACATCCAACATTCACGATGAAAACATTGGCCACAACCTCTCTATTGTTTATGAATACCTTAGTTATTATTTTAATCTAAAAGTTTTTTTTTGCAGGAAAAATAATAAAACATAATTCTATTATTTTTTACAATTAAGTTGACAATTTTATCATTGTGCCAATAAAAAATATTAGTATCTGTAGATACAATTAACTAATACAAATTATTAATGATAAGATTTTCAATAACAATTTTTATAATTAAATAATAAACCTTAACATAAATATTTATATAATATTGATAATTTTAGATATATTTTCATAAATAATATTTTTAAAACATCTCAATTTATAAATATATGTTTAATTATAAAACCTAACAGATAAGATGTTATATACCATGCAAATATTTCCAGAAATCTATTTTCATATCTGTCCAACTTAGAATGAATTGAAAGAGATTTACAGTTCAGAGCTTTGAGGTTAATTTAAATATAACCT